AAATAAAGCTATCAATTTAGCTTGCAAATGAGCAACTAGAACTGATTTTGAAGAAATACGTATTTCTAGCGACAAAAAAAAACATTAATATTTAATCACTATGTTGAGAATTCTGAAAATCGATTTAGTATATATTCTTTCTACAAAATACCATAAATCAAATCTATAGCAGATCCACTTGTCTTAGATAAATATGTAACTGTTTTATATGTTTAGATCCAAAAGTGTTAGTTAATGCCAGTGATGACGATCTGTTCCAAATGGGAAAGGTTCTTCACTCGAAATATAATAAGGATAGGTATTTCAGATGAATTTTTAAAAGACTTACTTAAATTTTGGCAAAGTTTTAAAACAGATCAAGTAAAGTTACACACAATAAAAGATTTGTCAAATTTTATAGTTGAGATCCTAACCGTTTACTTTTTCTTTTTAACCCCATTCCCGTTACTGTTGCCACAGCTAAGAGATCTTTTTCAAGATTAAATTTGATTTGAAATTATTTAAGGAACTCGATGCTTCAAGACAGATTATCATCACTGGCAATCATTTCAATTGAAAATGACATAGCACAGAAGCTAGATATAATCGAACTAATTAAACAATTTGCAAATGCAAAGAGACCAGAAAGAAAGTCATTATTTAATTTGATATGTTGTTATGTAATAATTATTGTTATAATAGAATGATATATTCTATATTAACCAAAATTACAGTTTAGAATGTTGTATTCATTTGTTTTTTTTTTTGTTGTTGTCGAGTTTATTTAGAATAATAGTTTATTAAATAGTAAAATAGTTCCTATTTAATTTGTTCCTTAAAATACTAAGATTTGCTACAGAGAATGCTAAAACAACAATTAGATATTTTCGTTAGTTGCCACTAATTAGGTATAATCAAATAATCTTTTAAATACACCTATTCTTTAACTGGCCAAATCAAATATGAACTTACGTATTTAGTATGTTTGAACCTCGGTTTGAACTCAGAGAAAAAAATTTAAATATATCTATCCATCATCAGAATAATGAAAGATATTGTGCCATTCGAACCGCTAGTAGTTAAGAAATAAGCCAAGCTTAAAATTACATTTTTCCATTGATAATGTCATATTAAGCTTCGCTTATTTCTTAACTACTAGCGGTGCGAATTGCCCATTAATAGCTTCTAATATCTAGAGATTTAATGTTGAAAATTTAAGTATATTTTAATGAATACCGATTTATTGACAGCTATGCGATGCACATAATATATTTGACATGAACAAAAATTCGCAGGATTTATGATAAATGCTACAAATTTTTGAATTATATGTACTTATTATAGAGAGGGAAGGAGGCCCAGATTTTTATGATTTGAAACCAGTGCCCCACGTTGTCTTGTTGCGCCACTTGCCGAGCAGCCAGATTCATTGCTTATTTTGACATTTCCTTCATGTCTCAAGTGTCAATATTCCATTTTTAACCGACTTCAAAAGAGGAGGAAGTCCTCAATTCGTCGCGATATTTTTTTTTTATGTATGTTCAGCGATAATTTTTTAACACGGTGTGCGATTTTAATAATTCTTTTTTTATTAGAAAGGGGATACTTCAAGGGTGGTTCCATATAAATTTGGTAAAAATCTAATAATTGGGTTCATGAGAAAATCCTCAAACTCTTAATTTTTTATGTATGTTTAGCGATAATGCTTTACCACCTTGTCCGATTTATATGATTCTTTTTTTGTTAGTACGGAGGTACCTCAGGGGTAGTCCCATATAAATTTGGTTAAGATGTGGTGATGGCATCTGCACGTTTTTGAAGTTGGTTTTTTTAAATTTTTAATTTATATTACTTGTGTGATTTTGATTCTCTTTAGAACCTATCTATGTAGCTTTCGTTAGGAATTTGATCTTAGGTACATTAATTTAGTTCTCAGTAAAAAATATATCTATCCAGTAAATTTGCTAGGTCTGTAACACAAATATTAATAAACTAAACATTATTTTTGAAAATTGATTTTCTCCGGATCTTCTCATTTTAATTTCGTTTATTTACTTTGTAGACTTTTGTTATTGCTCATAAACAGTATTTTATTGTTTATTAGTAAAAAGTAATTTCTCTCGAATGGGTGTTAAATATTTATATATAGTAGGTATTTATTTTATTTTCTATTATTTTATTGGAGACAGTTAAATAACAAGAATATTCACTTTTATCGATGAACTTAAAAAATACTTGAATACTAGGGATACTTGATCACCAGAGATACTTGATCACTAGAGATACTGGTTCACTAGGTAGGGTCACCAAATTTACGAAAGTGAAACCGTGACGACAGAACATTAGGTTCATTTTTATATAATCAGGTCCATTATTTGTGACATTTCTAAAAAGAAAAAAAGGTCTTCACCTTATATTTTTCTATAAATCCGGTTCCTCCTTTTTATTTACGGCTTTGAATATTAAAATGAGTGGCATTTGCATAAAAAGAGTGATATTTTTGTCAAAAGCGGGACATTTTCGTACTATGGCGTTGAGCGTACAAGCAACTCAAAAAGCGTGGAAAATACGCCTAAAGCGTGACGTCTGGCAACCCTATCACTAGGGATACTTGCTCACTAGGGATACTTGATCACTTGGTATACTTGTTCATGTTAATTTTATTCAGAAATCTAATTACTTTTGAAGATCTACTACTTTCAGAGTAAAAAGTCACAATCTGATAAACCAGTAGCCCTTTTTTGCAACAGAAGCCATTTTCATGTTTAGGCACGGTGCAGTTCGACACGTGCTCTGCATGCTATAAAATATCTTAGTTTTTTTTAATTGTAAAAGAAATAGTGTCGATCACTTTTTGTGGAATATGTCGCACCCTTGCCTCAAAAGTGACAACTCAAAATTTACATGTTTTGAGTCAATACCATGAATGTGATTAGCAAACAAATCTGCAGCAATCACCAAAATTGTTTTAACTTAGCCTGTTATTTTAAGGTTTTGATGCAGGGTTGTTTACTAATCACATTTACGATATTAAATCAAAAGATCTAAATTTTGAGTTGTCTCACTTTTGAAGCAAGGTTGTTCTACATTTAAACAGTAAATTAAAATGTATTATACTTTGAAATAAGTTCTTGTAGGGATACTTCATCACCACCAATGTGGGGATATTTGATCACACCATGGGACATTTGATCATAGTGGTCAAATGCACAGATGAACGTAAAAAAATGTTTCTAATGGTTGCATCAGAGACACTAGTGATGTGAAGTTTGCAGAAATTATTGAAATAGCGCCAGATCCCAACATTATTTTAAATAAAAGGAGAACGAATGTATTGCACATTTCAGAAACCGTTAGATGTATCTGAAAACTAAAGTATTTATTATATTTGCTATACATTCCTTTTTTTATGAATAGTTTTGTTCTTACTGGGTTATACTTAACAATGTATTCATTTTTGCCCATGGATCATTCGAAATAAAGAGGAGGCGCTTAATTATATTTGCACGTGAGTGAAATAAGGAGAGATTCTCATGAATCGGCTGCCGGCTGCCTACCGTAATTGGACAGATTGATACATCTCTACCACAGTGGGATAGCGCACACTGTTCTACATCTCTCTAATCACTGGCATCAATTATTTTATGCCGTTCTTATGGAGTAATTGTATGAAACATAACATATTGTACTTATATGCATTATTTTTTCCTTAAACACTTTAAAATGGTTATAAATTTATAAATTTAAAAATATTTAGATAACTGTTAGTACACTTCTATGTTTACCTAGGTTCAGTTATGTTACAACATTTTTTAGGATTTAGGAAATATAAAAATATGATCAAGTATCCCCTATTTCCCTTATTGTGAATTCTACTGGCTACTTATGGGGAATAGATTTGAAATATTAACATTTTAAAGGTACCTACTTATATGCACAAATTAGTTTGTTGTTCGTTTTATTTTGGATCCACTATAGAGATCATTGTGACAGAGATAAAACATTGAAATATCAATTCAAAAACATTATTTTTTGTAAATTTTTATGGTGTTGCACTACCGTCTTAAAACCCATTTGTCTGTCTATTGAGCTCCCTTATATTTCTGGTTCAATTCAGTAGAAATCAATGAAAAAATTGTCCTTTTCAAGACTGAAAAGAAGAATTATTTATTTGATTTGAGTCTCATTGGCACTATTATTAATATGCCCTATTATAGAAAAACATATAAACAAATAACAGCTGGAAACCTATTTCAAGAACCTAATCTACGTAGGGCTGTAGAATACTGTATACTGAAAAAGTGATAGTGCAGGGTGAGATGCACTTTAGCCTCATTAAGCCCATTGCTCAGAAAAGGACAGACTCGGAAATAATTTTATTATGTTATTGTATCCTCGATTGTATCTATATCTGCTATTGTCTCATAATATTGTAATACATAGGTATTTTTATAATGATCATTATTAACAAAAGGGTATTGAATTATAACTGAACTTGTTTCATTTTAATGTTTTTCTTTGTTTTTGTGTAAGTAGGTAATTCAAGTTTTAATTGGTTTTTCCTTTATTTTCAAGGATGCTTGGGGTAGTTAAATAAACGATTAACATGTTTCATCGAAATCATATTCTTATTTGTGTAGGCAATTAGGTATATTCGAAAGGAAAAAGAAAAGCTCAAAATATTCGAATACTTCTCTTATAGATAAATAGGTAAGCAGAACTTTTTATTTTTTTTACATTAAGTAAAGCTTTGTTGTTGCATACATTTTCTCTGTAATTTTTTTAACAGTTTGAAACTTATTGGACACAATTCTAATAGCACAGTAAGTCCAATGTTTAGGAACAGAAGTAGTAGTTCTTTATTTAAGCTAATTATACCTAGGCTAGGCACATATACCTAGGTATAATATCGGGATATATTAATAAAATTTTACAAATCTGTTGCTTTTTAGTGAATAATAAAAAAGTGCTTAGGTAGGTTTGCTATTTAATGTACAAAACTATAAAAATTAAGTACTAACCTGTTATTTTGACTTTAAAATTTGTTGGCGAAAAATAATAACTGCCGCAACTCTTCCTTATCTCAGAAATCACTCTCGGAGGACTCCGATCACTGTCAAAATCCCTATAAGGCGTAGCAATAAGCATTATTATATTATTAACAAAAGTCACAAAATCGAATCGAAACTATCGTAGAAACCATCGTCACTTCTACAAAACCGCATATTTTTACGCCGATTTCCACTCTCTGTTTATAAAAGGCAATAATGTATCTTCAAGGAAAAGTTGTTTTCAAAAAAAGGCGAGATAGTTTTTTTATAAAGATCAAGAACCACTTTCTTCCGTACCTCGAATCGTAAACAACACAAAAAACCCAAACACTAAATAAATTCTGTTAGCAACTGTCAAAGTTATTTGAATTTTTGACTTTTATCGCGCGGGAGCATGGTTTACTAGGATATGAAACAGCTGTGCACAGCCTTCTCTTTCGGTTGACCCATTGGTTGTGTTCGGAGTTCGGAGCTCGGGGCTTCGCTCGCAGTGCGCTTCGTACGAGAAGGATTCGTTTCAAAATGATTGTGATTTGGATTTGTTTATGTCGAGTGTCGAGTTGAGGCTCGGAGTGGAAGTTTAGAATTCGAATTTCTACACTGCCCGACAATAGAAAACCTACTAGATAACGAATTGCGCGTTATACATTAGGGTGTATTTTTTACTTTTAATAGTTTTTTAACTGTAAGGTGTAAGCAATGGTGTCGCAACGGGAGAGTAATGGGGCCAATTACCTCATAAGAAAATTATGACCTATAAATTTAAAAATCAATGGCATGATGCCTAATGCACCTTCTCCCGTCCTAAAGAACAATTTTGCAAAACTGAACAAAATGACACCTCATTTAAGCCGTTATTTACAGCGTTTTTTGTAAATAAGATACTTTTCCTATCTCTCGTCTCAAAAATAACTAAAGATCAAAAAGGTTAGAAAGGATAGAGGCAAAATAGGAAGCATTTGCCGCTGCGCGAATTTTCCCAAAACCGAAAAACTCTGTGGAAGTAGTAGGGAGATGTTCTGGGCCGGAATTAAATATTTGTATTGTACTACCCCATAGAGCACACATTATTTCAGAAGTGTTTCAGAAATATTTCAAACGTGTTTCAAACATATAACATTTCAAGCACAAGTTTCTGAAATATTTTTAAATATTTTAGTTAAATAATTCACTGAAAATGTTTCTGAAACATGGTATACATGTTACACAAAAGGTTACTATACTCTGTTTTTAAACTAAGAGGAGCGATTTGAATTTAAGTTGGCAATTCTGTAGACTTCTAATTGGTCCGATTGAAGTCAGTTTCACACATCACTTTTTAGCTACTGTTGACAGGGGTTGACAGTTCTATTTTCGATTCTGACATTTTATCATTTAAGTTTTGTTATTGCTTTGATATCTCATCATTATTACTTAGTTTTTTATTTTATTTCTTTAATAACAGTTCTTTTCAAAACTTTATTAAGCAATTGTATTGAATTTCTACGATTATGGATTCTTCTACATCGAATACTATTATAACCGTTCTTCGCAGAGTCCATCAAAACAACGAAAACGAATGAGTTTAGGCTATTCGTCTCTCAGAAAAGCAGTAAATAATAAATATGTACAAATAGGTATTGGATAATAATACGAGAACCAAAATTGTTGATGTTATATCCAAAATTTCTCAAGCTACGGGTAAGTTTTACTCATTACTTTCAAATTAAAAATAATATTAAATACTCAATATTTTTCTTACAGGTCAAAGTCAACTACTTACCGATTATTGAAATAATACCGCAATAATGAAACAATATCTAGTCTAAAAAGTATTTATGGAAGACGAGGAGTTCTAAAAACATTTGATTATGATGATGATAAATGCTATTCGAAGATTAGTACACGATTTCTTTTTCAAAAATGAGTTATCTAGATTGAATAAAATTTTGCAAGGATTGAAATATTTAGATTTGCCACAAATATATTATTCATCTTTATATACTTTCTTGAGATATAATAACTAAGTAAGTTTGTAACTTTGACCAGTCAAATGTACTGTTTATTTATTATGTATATATTTTTTTAGATATTTGAAAAGAAATTGTCAAAGTGTATTGATAGAACACTATATACGTAGATTTAAAATCCATCAAACAATATAGAAAACAAAACAGACCAAGCTTCTACTTTGATGAAGATCATAATAAGGTTTATCAACAGGCCTGAAAAGCCAAAAGCAGGTGCCTTAATATACGTGCTAATTCTGAAGGTTTTGTAGAAAATGCATTTACCTTGACGAGACGAAATCCGAAGTATTTTAGAATTGGTTTTCTACATTTTTTACAAAGTTTTCTAATTATGCTATGATTGTCATGGAAAATGTATCATATCATAGTCGAAAAGTTGAAAAAAATCCTTTGTCATCAAGAAAATCTGACAGGAATGGTTACAAAACTAAAAATATTAAATTTATTTAAATATGAAGTGATATCAACTTTTACACCTAATTTGGCAACATAAAGATGCACATAATTTGAATGTTGTCGATGTAAAGGCTAAAGAAACCAATAAAGTTGTGTAGTGGCTGCCCCATATCACTGCGAGTTAAATCCCATAGAATTGATAGAGGCACAAATAAATCAGGTGGCAGCTAAAAACAATGAATCTTCTGATGTAGATTAACATATTGAGTACTTAGTGTTTTTTGTTTCTGGTTCAATGTAAATGTACTTTGTCTTTTCACTTATTATGTTGTATAGGCACCTCTTATGTATTTTTGTTTTATTTTTCAAACTTTTATTATTAATTAAAATATTATAACAAATTTACAAAATAAAGATACTACTATTCATATGTTGTTTTTCTAACCCATATTAAAAAAAAATTACAAAACTACAGTGTAGTATACAAAAATTACAACTGCTCTCATTTTTATTGTAAAATTGTTGTATCTTACACACATTTAAGCGCCAGTCTGTATTTAACTTAAAAATTCTTGTTCTGCAAGGTATAAGTGGTAAGAATAGATTTGAGCAGCCGTTTTTAAGAAATCTGGATTTATAAAAAAGGCGACCTTTAAATTTTACAATAAAAATGGGAGCAGCTTTAAATATTTTACCCGGTAAATATTGCTTTTTTGGTGTTCTACTTAAAAAAAAATACAACTTTATTACTAATTTTTTTTTTAAACTAAAAATTAATGAATTTCTAATCAAAATGATTAAAATATAACTAAATATTAAAGTAAATTTTATTTATTTGAAAATAAACCATTTACAAAATTGTTAATTAACTTTTAAAACTACAAAATATTTTGGATATATTTAAAAGTGCTATTGCCATCTGAATATGTCCATAATTTGTGGCCTCCAAAACTTTCATTATTTAACCTAAAACAAATACCTTGTTTGATTATTTTAAATAAATAGCTTGGTACTTAAATAGTCAAAAGCATAAAGTGTTATCACTGTAACATTTGGTGTGGCAACTTTTTTTTAAACATTAAATTGCTATATGTAAAAGGACTTTCCAAACAAGTGTCAAAAATATTATCTAGATATAATGTAAAAATTGCTCATAAACGAAACCTCATTTTTAAATTTTAAACCCAAACTCAAGAAAGCAACTTAACTAAATGTAGTTTATAAAATAGACTGCAAAGATTATAACTACACTTACACATATTAAACTATGCGAATGTGTAAAAGGTGTATTTTAATTTAATCAACTAGTTGTAAGCTACCTACACACTATCACAAAATATGGGTTTCGTTCATGATCATTTTAAAGTGTTTATGTTCCTAAAGGTTTTTTTAAATTTTAAAAAGCTGTGATTGCACCAGAAGATTTCGAAACATATGTAGTGCTGAATTATTAAAAATATCTACCGATCATACTAAAGATATTTTTGTTTGTAAAAAATATATTAAATTGGGTGTAGGAAATCCTTCTGCTGACACAAATTTACAAATTACCTTTTTTATGCCTTAATAATTTTTATTTAATTATTTATCTATACAATAAATTATCATACAAAATTAAGATACATATTATCTTACCTGCAAATAAACATTTAGTTTTCGAGAGGCTTGAAGGATGTCTCAAAAAAATATACCATCTGCTTTATATTGTATAAAAATATGTTTTCAAGAAGACCAAAGACATTCTGATACACAATGTGGAATTTAAGCAACAATTATAAATCCTATCTACAAAAAAACAGGAGAATGATAAAAACCATTATTATTATAGTAAAAGCTGGTATCATTGCACTTTCTTGGACTTCTACATACATTTAATAAGCTGTTGCCCACAAGTTTACACTTTCGACTGTTATATCATCTTGTTAGTGGAGACAAAATTCCTATAGATTTGATTTATTTCATTTCAAAACACTTGTCTGCAAACATATCGTATCATACTTCAGAACTTTGCTACATTTTACCTGAAGAAAGAACCCTTATTTAATTAGGAAATCCATACAACTAACGGTAATCTTGTAGTTTAATTTTAAGTAAAAATATTACAAATTAAACTATACCTATAAAGAAATATAAAAATAAACTTTATTTTTTTGTACCTGCCAAAATTCTTCATTTTAAATAAGCTTTTCTTCAACTACATATTTTTCAGTCCCTCCTAAATATGTTTTGTAATAGGTAGGTAATAATAGGTGCTTAGTTTCATTCCAACAAATATAACTGGCATACCTATTTTTCTAATTTTTCAATCAAATTGAAAAACCTACTATTTACTTTCTTTTCTGTTATTATAATAGATATATAATTTTCTAATCACAGTTACTTATAAAACAATGAATAAAATATCGAATTAAAACTCTATGTTAAACTCAAAATGTAAATTATTTTGTATTTTGTTGGGAGACATTTTACTCAATTTGGTCGCTGCTTGGGCGATTCTCTTCTCAACATACTGGTCCGAGCTGCGATATGAGACGAAGTAAGGAAAAAATAAAAGTATAACTAAAATACAATAATTATAAATCAAAAAGGGAATGAGCACAATTTAGTGTCATCTTTATTCGTTGGTTATCTAAAACTTTGACTTCAATGACATAACAAAGTTTTGAAATGTTTTTCTTGAAATGATACAAGACAAATTCAAATTTACCGCTAAAATGATATCTAGTTACTTTTTTAGTTATTTTTCCCTGTGTAAATAGGACTTTTCAATTCGCTCCTCTTAGTTTAAAAACAGAGTATAAACGGGTTATGTTGTAAAAGGCCAACACTTAATGAAGAATTTCTGATTTGTAAGAAGATCAAGATGGGATATGTGGTTATTTTATTTCATCCTAAGTCCAGCCAGAGACAACCAACCCCTTATTCTAAATAATTATAGATTTGAGTTGTCGGTTTTTGTCATTTCCTTTTTTTATTAATGCGATGTGCTGTTGTTATATGGGAAGCAGAATAGGCAGAATATGTATTTAGAAATTCAGGAGAGTATTACAATGCTTGTTTAGGTTAGGTTTATTAACTTTATCTCTTCTCTGAGACGTGTGACGCCATTTCGTTTATCAAATTTATAGGCATTTATA